CATTTTCAAATAAACAAACATGACATGTTTCGTTCCAATTTAGGCGACTTAGTCTATACTTGTTTGCTATGCGCATCACGTAATAAATCTAGACTAATAACCGAAATAAGAATGCATAATGTTTTCAAGACTAGATATCATGGTCAGTAGAGGCCGATCTTCGGATCGGGCGAGAGGGGGTGCTCATAGCTGACCTTCTCCAATCGTACCCAAGTTCCCGAGCCGAGGCAACTTTGGTGATGACGGACATGTGGCCTTAGGCAACGAGTCAGGGTTTCCTAAATTTCCCCATAAAAAATATTTAGGTGGCGACTCTGTATCTGGCAAAGCAGTCCATGTTTGGCACTTTTTTCTAAAAATTTGTTTTCCAAAACGATTTGCCAGATTTGGACTCTTTGGTGATTTATCAATCTCACATTGCACATTGTGAGATTAGATTAAGAACCGACACAAATCGAGTTCGAACTGTAGCATGAGGCCCAAGGGCGCGTCTACAGTTTCTGGCGACTCTGTTGGGGAGTTTAGAGAGCTTGACTCGAACTCGTGATATCTTGTTTTGACTACACTTATGTGTTTCAAAGCATGCCATAAGGCTGACCGGTTATGGGCTCTGCCAGTATGGGAACACAAACCCCGGTTTTACCGGGGCACCATTTTCGACCATTCGACCTAGTGCATATTCGGAATCCATAGTGACCATTACAAGCTAGGACATGTTGCTTACCCGATTATAGGTTGTTTGAAACCGTTGCGTGCGTAGTGAAACCCTAGCTCCTGACAAAATAGGACAGGGAAACCCTACCCCAACATAGGGGTGTTTTGGCTCTCTTTTACTTGCTATGTGCTTTTAGAGTGTATCTCTACAGGAACGCACATATCAGTTTGCAAGTTTGAGTGTCAGGCCTGAGGGCGCGTCTACACCCGTCAACCTTGCCTGGGTCTACCCTAGACCTGCCAAGGGGCGTTGCTCTCTGGACCTTTGCGAGTTGACTGGGTAGTTCGATCCTCGACATAGTCAGCAAAGTGGCAAATATGAAAGAATTAACTTCTGAAACTTTTCTCCAAGGTACAATTCGGGTTGGATTCACGTCTAAAAACTCATAGCCTCACTGAAATAAAAGTTGAACAAAATTACAATTGAAAGGAGTTTTGTCAAACGGAATTGCCAAGAACAAAAACCTAACAGGGACTAAATAATTTTGTTACGAAAAGTGGTGTTATTATATTTTAGCAATGAAAATTGAACATTCGTGATGAATTATTATATTTTTTGGGACCAAATTTTTGTCTCAAAAAATAAACCATTTTGAGATCAAATTATTTTGTTTTTAAAAGTCTATTTATTAGTGACATTTTCAAAATTGTCAGTAAAAGCCTTATTTTTGACTTTTCGGGACGACCTTTTAGCGATTATCCTCACGACGATAAAAATTGATCCCTAAATGTCTTTTGTAACAAAATTTTCACTTTTAGAAACTAAAAAATTTGATCTCTAAAACTCTTATATATTGTAGTGGATCTCCTCGTGAGCTCGGGTCATCTTATCAATTGGAAGTCCATTAACCTGGACCCAAAAGGGCCTCCAACGGAACTCCATCTCATCTGCTGCCAACCCAGTTTGTAGCTTCTAGAGAATCAAAATACTCTCCATTACTGACCAAGGAGCCTCCTCAAGAACCCTCCTTTGGTCGGTCACTTCCTCAAACTGGAATAGGTTAATGCTTTCCTTTCACGGAGTGATAGAGACCCCGACCCTAGTCTTCCACGCTCCAAGAAGAATACTAGTCACTACTAGTTTGTCTAAGATCTTTGAGGCAAGAATCTTTCCCACCAGACTTCGGTGCGAAACATCTTCACATTCATCCGTCCCCTTCGGCAGTTCAAAAGAATCCAAACCCGAATCGAAAAAAGACACACAACTCTCAAGAGAGCACCAGAAAAGAGGTTCTCCAGCAAAAGCCCACATCTCACCTTAACTAGGGATAAAACCCTATCAACTACCAAACGGCAGAGGAAGCTCTCATTCTAGAGAGATAATTAGAACTTTTGCTCTAAGTCTCAAGTTCAAACTCCTCTATCTTCAACTCCTATATGTAATTGCATACTGTATATTGATGTACCAATTTTACAAGGTTTTACAAGCTTGAGGCGTGTTGATAGTTTCTCATTAGAAATATAAATTGACTATACATTTTTGTTCAGCTTAACAGTGCAAATATAATGGTATACTAAGATTAACTTTCTCATTACAAATATTTAAAAAGAACAGTAGAATTTCATTCATACTCGGCAATTGTTTGAGAAATTTCTAACTCCCTTTGGTAATTAGAAATACCTTAATTTGTTGATACATCTGATATATATGATCGTCTTAAGTAATTCAAGAGAAGACTTGCATGTATCTATACTACTCAAACCATTTGTTTTGCCAAATAAATGCAATTTCAATAGTTCCTATATTCTTCCTTCTTAACTACAAGGGAGAGTCAAATGTTCCAACACGCTCCCTATCCCTCTTTATTATAGGGTGCTTGATTTCAGTTTCCGTGTATTAGCGAAAACTTAATCTTTATCTTACAAATTATAATAAGAAGCATTTTTTTTTTAATCGGCAAATGTTAGTTGTTAGTTGTTAGATTAGTACCTATGAGAAAAAATCTCCTCACCATTGACAAATCACCTAAGTGTTTGCACACCCTTAGTTCAACCCTCCTAAGGGGAATTGAATCCATAACTTCATTGAGACTAAGCTCTAAGGAAGACATGATGACCAATTAGGTTAGACCTAATTGGTTTGATAAGAAGCATTGTTAGAGTTCTCAATTCAACAAATAGGTCCCTATTTTGAACTTTGAAAATATCTCCTAATTGTAGAGAAAAAATTAGAAAATATTATTGAAGATGCTCTAAAAGTTGGTATATATTGTCCGAGAAAGGCTATGGAGCACATTCCATAGTTTTTATGGTGTTAGTTACATTACAAACTACTATAATTATATTGCAAAGAGGGCATAAAAAAAAAAAGAAAAAGTCTTAGATCTCGTTTGGGAATAGGCTTTCTTAATAACTTTTTGACTTCTTGGCTAAAATGTAATATAAAAAAAACTAATATGTTTGGGATGACTTTTTAGCTTTTTACGAAAAGATGTGCAAAAAGTAGAGAGAAAATAGAATCTTTGACTTTTTGGTATGGGTCGTTAACTTTTTAATTTTTTTAGTAACTTTTTGATTTTTTAGCTAAAAGGGACACTTGCCAAACGAGGCCTTAGTCCCAAATCATTGTAATTATATTATGTTCTAATGATTTTGTTATGAAAATTACAAAATTATGAACTATTGTGATGAGAAAAATTATAAACCGTTGTGATTTATTAAAGAAAAATGACTGGTAGCTCAAAAAAAGTGGCCCGATTTTGGCTCGAATCACAAAACGACGTCGTTTTGCGATTCTTTTTTTCTTTTTTTTCTTTTTCTTCCTTTTATTTCTCTTCATTTTCTTTCTTTCTTTTCTTCTTCTTCTTCGTTGAACACAGGAGAAGAACAGAGGGGAAGAGGAGGAGAGAGGGAGAAAGAGAGAGGAGAGGAGAGAAGGGCCCCTCCTGTGCCTCCGTCGCTGCCGATCGTCGCAGCATCTTCGATCGTTGCAGCAGCTCCGATCGTCGCAGCCCCTCCTCCTCTAGCCCGATTTTGATGGCCCCCTCCCCTTCAGTTCTCCTCCTTCCTCCTTCTTCTTCTTCTCCGAATTCGAGTTACGAATCGGAGTTGTTTATTAAAACATAGGAAAATGATAGCCATCTCTAAGATGTGTACCACACATCTAGTTGTACTCTTGGTGGTTTTTGGTTAAGGCTTTAGTGGTGTTTTGTTATGTCCTGTCATGATTTGTAATAGTTGTGAGGCTACTTATGTAAATCAAAATGGGTTATGAACCTAGTGGTGCTTTCTATTTATTTATTTTTTTTTCTTTTTAAGTACATTGGAAATTAAAAGGCAATTAAGAACACGCTTTCACTCGGGGAGGGCTACCATAGAGGCTAAAAGTCCTTGGTACGCCACACCCACCATATCAGCCACTAATTAAGGTCTCATTTGGGAACTCTCATTTTTAGTTAAAAAATAATTAAAAAGTCAAAAAGTTATTAAATTAGTCAAAAAATCAACAACTCATATTAAAAAGTCAAAGATTCTCTTTTCTCTCTACTTTTTACACATCTTTTCGTAAAAAGGTAAAAAGTCATCCCAAACATACTAGTTTTTTTAGCTCATATTTTAACCAAATAGTCAAAAAGTTACTAAATTAGTCTATTCCCAAACATACTAATTTTTTTAGTTCATATTTTAACCAAATAGTTAAAAAGTTACTAAATTAGTCTGTTCCCAAACGAGGCAACAGGCAACATGCTAATTACATCTGGTGGGTCCTCCACTGTTGAAAATAAACTTGTATTTTATTATTTTAAAAGTCATGTATTTTCTTACATTCAGTTATGCTAATTATGGAGAAATAATCACTGCTGGAAAACAGACTTTTAGTGGCGTTTAAGAAACGCCGCTATATCTTTCAAAAACGCCGCTAATTCCTTTTGCGACGTTTAGTACCAAACGTCGAAGCTGCGGCCGTCGCTGTATCTTTACGACGTTTTAAAAACGTCGCGATATTAGAATAGGTGGCGTTTTTAGAAACGCCGTGAAATGTCCCCTACCATGACGTCACTATGATTTTAGCGACGTTTTCAAAACGCCGTCATATCTTTTTAAAAAAAATTGACCGTTAACTTTTTGGAGTTTAGGTGGCGTTTTAAAAACGCCGTGAAATCCTCTTGTTTTTTTTTTTTTTGAAATTATGCTAATTTTATGTGATTAAACTAAAAAAATACCTCTAATAAAATTGAATAGCCGTAATATGAAATAATAACTCTCATTCAAATTATAAATACAGCATTAATTCACTTTCCTATTCAATTTAATATTCAATCATCATTACCCACAAAATAACATATTCAAAAATTAAATTCACAATTCTCAACCAAAAAATCAGGTCCTATGGCAGCAAAAATCAACACCAGCCAAAAGTCACACATAGCCTTGTTCTTATCAACTAGACCAACTTGTATTACAAAAGCTTTTGTAAGATAATTTGCTTCCAAAAAATGAAAAAATGGATCATTATCCACATCCATACTAGATCTACCAGGTGTCTCTGGAGTATAAATTGCAGGAATCACATCAGGCTTCCTAGCTAAGAAGACACTGTTCACCACCCCATAATTTCCACTTACAAATGGTTGGTGCTCATCATGCCGCCATTCTCCATCAACAAAAAACTTGTACTGCACGAAAATGAAAACAACATATCTAAACATCAGATACTAGAGATAGAAGTACACTTTTAGGATTGTTGATGTAGATGAACTCATCTCTTTGACTAAACATTGAATTTCATGATCAATTTGTTAATCTTGCACAATATTTCTGTGAATATCATGTCCGTTATATACAATTTTGAAAGAATTAAAATGTATAAAATGCATGCACCATTGTGCAACTATGGGATGCATGTTTACTTTCTTCAACCTGTATAATCTTCATATAACACAACAATATGGTGTCTCATTGAGATTTATATGTATTAGCTGCCTATGTTATAGCAAACATACAAAGCCTTTTAGTTAATTTATAGTCTTTATTATTTGAAACAACAAATCACCCTCTTTAGCGGACAAATTGTCCATGGATCCATTTTCAGGAACATAAAGTGGCTCCAATTTCTGCTAAGCATGGGGACCCACCAATACTGATATATATTCAAGTATAAAACATTTTAAGAAGAAGAAGGTGTACAATCCAAGTTAAAATTCACAAAACAGATCACCAAGCTCTTTCAACAGTGCAAGCTTCTAAGCTTACAGTAGAAAGTAGAAAATGAAGAAGAAAAAGAAGAAATTCAAACAAATCAAATATACCTCAACTTTCCCAAATCTTCTTCCAGACATCTCACATGCTCAGAAGCCTCTTCTTGGGCCTTTTTTGTAACTTCCTGTAATGAAATATTAACAAATAGGTTAAAAACACCGAAGTAAATATAGAAGTAGACACGACCATCTATTCATAAGGCTTTTTTTTCAAATAGGTCTTCCCTACCATCATCTGCAAGAACCAAGGAGTAAGTTGAATTGGCTGATGCAAGGAAATAACCAAAAACAAAATAATGCCTATATCCATATAATGCCACCCCCAATCATCAGGAACCCCCAATGAGGGACAAATTTGAGAAAAATAATGTCTTCAGAAAACAAATGATGATGAAGAAATAAAAATCATGTATTCAGCACGCTGATCCACTTGCCCATATCCATGTAATAAAACAAGCAATTGAGAAGGTGGAAAAAAAATAATGACTTCAAAAAATAATGTTGTTCCATTAGTCACTATCCCTATAAATATAATTAATATACAGCTTTCACATTGTCCATCCATCTCAAAGAATCTCAGAAGTTTAAAAATAATCAATTGATCAAGAAGCGAAGGCTGCCAGACAGACTGCAATATCAAACTTGAAGTTGAAATGTTGTGACATGCAGCCCAAACACTATACTCTATTTAGTTCTCTTTTTTTGTTGTTGAAATATTCAAATCGGTTAAATATGATTTTTGAGTACGACTGATTAGAGCTGTTTGTAATATGTGATAAAGATATAGCTGAGATTTTATCTCATACCTCCAGAGGAACCCCTAGTTCCTCACCCAGGGCACGCATCTTTGCCAAACCAGTCTGATAGTTTGGACCACCCCTTCTCACATAAATATGCATTCTTGCTGCTTTTAGCTTGGATTCCTAAAGTCACAGAAGAGGTATATGTGAGCATATAAAAGTGAAATTAGATTATCAAGTTGCTTTTATAAAAGAAGCAAAATGTCTCTACCTTCTCCCTTAGTGCTCTAATAATTCCATTAAAAGCAACAGCAACATCAGTGAAATTAGGAGCACCACTATACTCTGCATAATTCCCAAGTTCTGATGCATAACCCAAGTCTCCAACCTAAATGAGAAAAAGAAACCCATATACAAGGCATCCAAGAAACGAAGAGGGACAAAGGGATTATGGGAAAATAAGCGCCACATACGCTCATTTACAATAAACAGATGGGATAAAAAGTAAACAAGCAACAAAATAGTCCAGCTGAATTGTAAGCTATGAATCACATGAATGGTATATTAAGAAACTCACAGTATCAGCATAAATAACACTTGCACCACCACCAGCTACCATGGTCCAGATGCGTCCTTTGGGGTTCAAAACAGTGAATTTTAAGGAAGCACTTGTCTGCAACATTGTCAACAGATCCCAACTAATTAGTTGCTGCCATGGATGCAATTTAAGCCTTTAAAACTAACCCTCTCACATAAAAGAATAAATTTACACAAAGACAAGGCATACATATATATTAGCACAAGTGTCTATGGCTTTGGTGTAAATAAAATCAAAAAAGCATATGGTAATGTTAACTGCATGGACTCCACTAAAAAATAAAAAAATAAAAAAATTATGACTCACAGAGTTTTGAGGTTGGGAATCTGTGTTAATGTTGAAGGGATAGGACCAGTCAATTGATTGTTCTTCAAATTCCTGCATTTACAGAGCTTATTCAAGCGCTTGGTTGGCAGAACTAAAAACTTATCTATCTTAAACAATCCAGCATATTTAATTAATAGTACTTCACTTCAGGTATTAACTTACAATAACTCAAGCTGCTTAAGCTTGGATATTGAGAATGGTATATCTTCATACAGTAAATTATCAGATAAATCCCTGCATTATGGAATCCCAACCATTAAAATAAAAACTAAAAATCTTAATCACCTAAAGACAGAAGAAGAAATTAATATATCCACATATATGTAAATAAAATTGTAATGAAGAAAGAAGATGAAATTTTACACTAGCATCAGAGAAACACAGTTGCCTATCTCATCAGGAATTTGACCAGTTAATTTGTTGCCCTGAAAATCCCTAAAAATATTTCAACAATAACATCAAAGTTGCTATTATGTTAACCTGGTTACAATGAGCAAGAACACCAAATCAACAGGATTAGCAAAGAAAGCATACATGGACTGTAGATTCTTCAGGTCTCAATGACACATAACAATTTCCATTCTTTAATATGTGAACCCAAAAAGGAATCAAGAACAGCAGCAGAAAAATTCTCATTGTTACATAATACACAGTGTGCATCAGTTTCAAGTCCAACAAATTATATAAATTTCACTTTGGCATTTTATCAAACACTTTGTGTGAAAGAAAGAGACAGTGAGGAAAAACAAATAATCACAAAGAAAGGTATAAAGAACTAGATGATCACCAAATTACAAGTTGAAGAACAAACACTTTCAAAATTCACCAATTTGTGTCTATACAAAAAAAATAAAAAAATAAAATAAACACATATATACATATACACTTAATTAAGGAACACAAATTCAGATGTGGAAATCATCAGGAACGCATTGAACTCTACTTTAATAACATCTCATATTCTACATGGCAAGCTGTAAAGACTAAAGATCAACATAATTAACAAATACATATACAGATACACGGACATATCTAAGTAGAGAGAGAGAGAGAGAGAGAGAGAGAGAGGACTCACCGAAAGTGTACCGAGTCGAGCGGCTTGGGAAAGGAAGAATTGGGTCGAAATGTGCATATTACTTGAAATGCGAGTAATCGAGGGGTCAGAGTTCAGATCTGGAGCTTCGATGGAGCTTCGAAACTGCAGTGGTGGTGCGTACGATTGGAAGTGAGGGCACTGGAGGGTGCCTTCGATGGAGCTTCGAATATCTGAATCTTCGATGGAAATCTCTGAATCTTCGACGGAGCTTCGAAATCGGTTCGATCTGGAGCTTCGATGGAGCTCCGAAGTTGCTTCGATGGAGCTTTGAATATCTGAATCTTCGATGGAGCTCAGAGAGGGTTGAGAGAGAGAGAGAGAGGGCTCAGATTCAAAATGATGTATGGGTATGGGTTGAGAAAGAGCCAGATACAAAATAAAGATTGAAAAGGTGCGTGTGGTGTAACGCATTCGGAGGCGTTTTTGAACGCCTCCTATTATAAAACGGTGCCGTTTTGGTTACAACAATATGCGGCGTTTATAAAACGCCGTTAAATGTTAATAACAGTGACGTTTCAAAAAACGTCGTTAAAAAAACGCCACCATAACCCTTTTTTCCTGTAGTGAATGGTATGCATGTGATTGTGCATAATGGTGTGTTAAGGGATATTAATAGCATGTTAATGTGTTAGTGGTTACAAAGATTAATAGAGTTAGTGAGTCTTAACGTGAGTGTGTGAGTTACATGTTAGGATCTTATATATAGTCATGCAATCTATGTAATGAGAGATAAGAATGAGTATGAGAATGTAAGGAGAATAGCATGAGTGAAATAAAAGAGCTATATTCTTCTTCAATTCTCTTTCAAATTTATACGGTATTGTTGAGTAGCCTTTTTATTTTTAACAAAATGGTATCAGAGCTACTAAAATCCTGAAAATTTTGATAGATCATTGAAGTAGATGATCATGGAAGAATCACTAAATATCAGAGATGTTCACTGGTCAGTCGGCTCGAGTTTACCCTTGTCTCGTCAGCGGAGCCGATAGTATTCGGTGAAGAATTCAGTCATCTATTGTCGACCAATGAACTATTCGAAATCGACTGAATGAAAGGCTTCGATTTGACGGTCGGTTTGGTCGATTTTGAAAATACGACAGAAGTAGAGAAAAGAGTGAACAAAAATTATCAAAACAAAACTCAAATTTCAAACTAATACACCTAACTCACATATATTTAGATCTACATACTTACAAAGTTACAGATCTGTACAAGAGATAGTGGAGAAAAAATGAGAGAGATTAAAGAAGAAACAAATTTATTGATTGTCAGCCAACGACTCTACCGTGATCACTCATCGTAGCCGTAGCCGGAGCGGCAACCACTATAACCACCATTGTTCATTGTTACTACCACGAGCCCTCATTTCCCTCTGCCGCCATTAAAGAGGGGACGTAAAAGAGAGAGAAGCAGAGATGCAAAGGAGGAGAGACTTAAATCTGTTTCTGACTCCAATGGAGAAAAGCAAAGGTAGAGAAATTGAGAGAGAGAGAAATTCTGTGGTTGCCTTTCGTAGAGTTTTGTAAATATGATTTGAGAGTATAGGTTGTATTTTAAAATTTTAAGTTGTGAAATTATGATTTAAATATAAAAAATTTATTTGGTTATAGTTTTTGAATAGAGTGTTGATGAACTTTGAATTGAGGCCCCGTTTGGAGACTTACCTTTATAGCAAAAAAGTCAAAAAGTATCTTTTTAGCCAAAAAGGCAACAACTCATACAAAAAGTTAAAGATTCTCTTTTCTCTTACATTTTTGTACATCTTTTCGTTAATTAGTCAAAAAAAGTCAGTCCAGACACACATATAATTTTTTTATTCGTAGCCTTTTTTAGCAAATAGCAAAAAGTTACCTAATTAGCATGTTCCAACGAGGCCTGAGTGTGAAATGAGTTTATAAAAGTTTGACTTTTGGGGAACATGTGTCGTAAGAAAATTGTTTGGTTCTTATGAGTTTTGGAAAAAGATTTTAAAAACTTAAATTTGCAATTTTAAAACTTGCATAACAAAACATACTACTTTCATACTATTGAAAATTCTGAGTCAAAAACTCATAACCAATTTTTTTTAAAATTCAATTAAATTTTATTCATTAACAGAAAATAACATTAATCAATTTTTTAATTGAAAATACTACAAAGGAAATAATTTTTTTTTTCAAAATAATTATTTTAAAAAATTTAAATCATAAATTTTAAATAATTAATAATGTAAAACAATAAAAAAATATTAAAAAATTAAATAATTAAAATGTTAATATTTTAAATTAAAAACATTTATACTCAAAATCGGAAGCAAACACGTAAAACAAACTCAATTAAGAAATATTTTTAAAACTCATAACTAAACACATAACTCCAAACTATTTCACAACTTTACACTCAAATCGTAACCAAATACATAATAACAAAATTAAAATATTTAAAAATATTTTTTAAAATAGAGTTGAATTTATTTAACAAAATATTTTAAATTTAAAAAATTAAAATCTAAATATTTTGAAATTAAAATATTTAAAAATATTCAAAAAATTTAAAAATTAAAAAATTTAAAAAATCGTAACATATATTTAAATATTTAAATCTTACAAATTAAAATATTTTTAAAATATTTAAATATTTAAAATATTTAAAAAATTAAAATATTGATTTGAATTAAGTTTTGAAAAGAGTTTTGAATTATGTGTTTAGTTATGCGTTTTGAAAAGTAATAATTATATTTTGAATTAAATTTTAAGAAATAAATGTAAAATTATAATTTAAAAATTCCAAATAAATAATACATTTAAATTAATAGATGAAACTATAATTCGAAACTCTTACTAAACATAGCCTTTTGTTTTTCTAGAAAAGTCTCGTAGGGTTTATGATAGAGAAAGTCATTGAAATGTTATGGAGAAAAAGAAAAGTAATAGAGAGACAAAGAGGAGAGAGAGACAGACTCTCAATTATTTGAAAAGGTGTAAGATTAAATTCTTTGGAAAAGTGTTGAGTTTATGAGAGAGAAAAGGCATTGAGTGGTTACGGGGAAAAAGAGGAAAAAGTTGAGAGACAAGAAAGCGAAAAGGCGCTGAATGGTTATGAGCCGTTTGTTTTAGGACGCGGTAGATAAGGGGAGATTATGTTGAAAGTGAGAGTAATTTAGGTCAAGTTTAACGTGACTTAAATAATATAAAAAATTAAAAAGTTATTATCTTATTTAAGTCACATTATTTTATTTAAATCACATCACTTCTCTAACACATCACATCAAATTCAATCCAAATTCAACCCATATAAGTCAATAAGTTAAAAAGTGTACTTTTTTAGAATATCCCAAACTAACCCTTAGTGTTGTGTTTATTTGTAGAGTTGAGAAATGAATTAGGATGGAGGGAATTGAGATGGAGGTTGAAAGGGAGATTGAGGAAGAGGAGGAGAAGGAGGTGGTATTAGAAAAATAGTGAGGAGATTAGAAATTTTTTTATTTTTTACATATTGAGAATTTTTTTTTAAACATTAATGTTTAATTTTTTTATATTTTTTTATTGTTTTATATAAAAATAATTTAACAATTCTTATACTTACAATTATCATCAAAACAAATATAATTTTACTTAATTTCTTCACTATTAATTATCTCACTATCAATTTCTTTTATTTTATCTCTGAAAACAAACCAAAACTTGGATATTTAGAAAGTAGGTTTACGAGAGAGACTCTTGGGTTTTTAGAAAGTGGGTTTAGGAGAGAGAAAACATTAAATGATTTATGAGAAAGTGTAGTATGTGAATGGATTTAGACTGACACAAGCATAATCCCAAGGCCTTCGATGGTTCCGTTTGGTGAGGTTTATTTTTAATTTATTTTAATTTTTAGTTTAATTTAAGTTATTTTAATATGTTTGGTTTAGTTTAATAATATAACTTATAACTTTTTGTAAGTTAAAAATCAACTTATTCTTTGAGTGGGGGAGGAGAAGCTTAATTTATAAGTAAAAAATCAGCTTATGTTCACAGCTATAAGCTGTTAGACTATAAGTTATAATCACGTTACTTAACAGTTCTAAAACAACGGGGGACAATAAAATACGAGTTTGGATTCTCTTGCAGTTTCTCTCTCCGACTCATCATTCGGGCAATGGCTCAAATAGAGTCACGTTACCTACAAATAAATAAATGGCTCACATTCGTTTCTTTAAAAAAAAAAAAAAAACATACTCACTAACACACACACTCATTGCACACACACACTCAATCCGTCCCTTTCTCTCTCTCCGTCCTCTCACTGAACACACTCATACAGTGTACACACACTCTCTCTCTCTCTCTCTCTATCACATTTCTAACAAAAAAAAAAAAAAATTAAAAACACACACTCTCTCTTATATATTTTAATAAAAAAAACTATTTTAATCTTTTTAATTTTATTTTCATAATATCTATATATATATAGATATATAATTTTTAATATAAAATTTAATTTTTATAAAATTAATATCATTGAAACTATTCTTTTAAAATAAGACTAATATTAAATATATTTAATAAAAATTTAAAATAAAAAAAAGTAATTACTATGTTTAGTTATGCTTCAAAGTATTATTCTTAAAATATAAAATTATTTTGATGAAATAAAACACACAAAAATCATATATTTTTGAAATTCTTAAAAATAATCTTCATTCCAAAAAAATATATGAAGTCATTATTTTCATTATTTTTTTTGGAATGAAGATTATTTTTGAGAATTTCAAAAATATATGATTTTTGTGTTTATTTTCATCAAAATAATTTTTATATTTTAAAAATAATACTTTGAAAGCATAACTAAACATAGTAATTACTTTTTATTTATTTTAAATTTTTATTAAATACATTTAATATTAGTCTTATTTTAAAATTATAGTTTCAATGATATTAATTTTACAAAAATTAAAATTTTATATTACAATTTATATATATATATTTATATATATTATGAAAATAAAATAAAAAAGATTAAAATTTTTTTTTTTATTTTTTTATTAAAAATGTGATATAGAGAGAGAGAGTGTGATTTTAATTTTAATTTTTTTTTTGTTAGAAATGTGATAAAGAGTGAGGGAGAGTGTGCTGTGATGAGTGTGTGTCAGTGAGAAAGGACGAAGAGGGAGAAAGGGACGGATTGAGAGTGTGTGTGTGCAGTGAGTGTGTGTTAGTGAGTATGTATGTATGTATGTATTTTTTTTTTAATTTAAAAGAAACGAATCTGAGTCGTTTATTTATTTCTAGGTAACATGGCTCTATCTGAACCGTTGCCTGGAAGATGAGTCGGAGAGAGAAGCTGGAGAGGATCCGCACCCACAATATAAAATTTATTCAGTTGGGTTCGGGTTAATCGAGTGTGTATCTTCTATATCCAATTCCGATTGTGAATTCGTGAAAAAAATATATATAAGAAAACTACAACCAACCGTTGAACTGCTTGAAACCACTCTTGACCTCATGGGTCGGTACAATTTAGACGATTTACACGGGTCAGCAGGTGTAATGAACAACCTTACTAAATATGTATTTTCAGTGTGAGAAAATGATGTTCTCTAATTATAAGAGATGAGGATTGTTCTCTTTCGTAATCCAAAGCATGTGGTTTGTTTGATGTGGTTGAAGAAAAGCCAAGCAATGGCTTGCCTAGAAGAATCCGAGAGAAGAAAGAGGAAAAAACACTCGGAGTTCTGAAGAAGGCAATACATTCAGAGATATGGATGCATGTTGGAGATTCAAGAATATCATATAATATTTTGAAGGTGATTGAGAGTTTTGTCTCCAAACATGAAAGTTATCACCCATTGAATATTTGGTACAATGCTTTGAAGAAGATGAGTTTTAAGAAAAAGAGTGCAATGTTTAAGATGCATCAATGGAAGTTGGAAAAGATGATCATCTAGTTGAAGTTAAACAATTTGAGACCAAAATTGTTGAAGGAAATCTCAAAGAGGAAAACAAAAAGGAAGAGATTTATGTTGAAGTTCAAGGAATGTGTTACGACCCATCCCACCTTAGATGAGATAGTAGCTATGACCAGCCAGTAGTGTCTAACTATCAAAGGCCTAAAAAGACAAGACAAAACAAAATTGGACTAAAATCTTGGGGCTTAGGCAGAACAACCTATTTATTATATTAATACAATACCATTCAGAGCAAGTGCATAAGTAAAATGATAACAAACCAAGTATACTTCTTATTCATTTACATTATATTTACATGTCCATCCAACAAAGTAAAAGGACATAGCACAAAATGACATTTCTACAAAACTATAAACATAAAAACAAAACCACTAACTCAAGGTTAACTTGAAAAGAAGAAAATAAAAAGAAAAGCAAAGCTTTGGTGCAACTTTTCCTCGTGTATTGGTTCCTCTTCTTCACCTACATATATAAGGGAGAGGGGTGAGCTATAACCCAATGAATAGTAATATAGTAAGGAGGTAAGTGAATGAACAATGAAAGCTTTAAACATTCCTCTGAGATAACAAATAACTTGAACAAGATGAACAAAGCTTGACTTGCAAATAAAATACATATTTGATAAGCATATCAAGGATTACAAGGTGCTTAACTAGCCCAGGTACCGGCTAAATGAAACAATATGAGCTCGGCCATAATATATGATTGTATATTCCCTCAATTGTGGGACATGATCCAAGAATGCCATCTAAGTACATGATAAAAGAGTATAAATGTTCATTCATAACAAGATATATCAAGTTCGAAACATAATCATGGTTTATATTGAAAACATGTTTAATTAAGCATAGCGTTACTAAATTACTACTCACAATTGACTCCATGAACAAGGGTTTAAACCTCCTCAAGCTTGACCTATACAAGACAAGAATAAAACATTGAAGCATTTGAATAATTCTTAAACTTCCTATATTAATTTATCATGCACTTAAACTTTAATCCACTTCTTTATTTAAACATAACATGCCTTAGGTGGGTTTCTAATTATGTTACGCTTGTGTCTAGATATCAAAACATACCTAAAAGTGTCTAAAGAAAGAGAGGAAATCAAGTGAAGCAAGATGTGAAATTGTGTTGAAAATGGGCAGTCCGCTCGAGCGGTGAATGGGTACCTCTCAGAATTTTAGGCCTGCAAATAGATTTTGAGAGCTGCAAAAGTGCACTCGAGCGACGCATTTACTGCTTGAGCGGTTGACCGATATAATGAGGTTTCTAAGTTGTCCGCTCAAGCGGTCCTTCTACCTCTCGAGCGGTGATCTACAGAACAGAACCTGCAGTTTGTGATTCTACTCTGTTCTAATGACTTTCCAAGGTTGCTAGGACCAAAATTGCAACAAATTCAACTCCGACTCTTACATATTTGATACCAAACATGGAAGCATACTTGTTTTCAAAATCAAAAAAAAAAAATCAAAAACTCACTTGTTTTCAAGATATGAAGCCTAGTCCAAGCTTTAAATGAAAATTTCCATGGTTTTACATTTTTTACTCTAGATTTCAAGAATCAACTTGTGAACTCATGTATAATCAAGTGAACATGTGAAAATAGTTGTGTAAGGACATCCAAATCACCAAAAACCAATTCAAAAGAGTTGGAAATCCTAAGTTTCATCCCTAGTTTGCCACCTTAGCTAACTTCTCTTCTTTCCCTCTAAGTTTTTTATTCTGTGATCATTTTCATCCTAACTTTTCCATGATTCATGATGCTAAAGGAGTCTACTACAAGATTTGGAATATAAAACTCACATTGGAATACTTCTAGGTTGATTTTTGATTGAATTCTTTGTACCCTTCTATTTTCTCCTTCCTTCCTCTCTTTTCCTCTCCTTCTATCCCGTTAGTTCTTGATTTCTCCAGCTTCTTCCTCCATTTTGTTTGATTTAGGACTAGAGGATTTGTTGTATATGGTTGGGCAAGGTTACAACTCCATTAGTTAACTAATTCCCTTACTTAGACTTAATTAATAAAGTTTTAAGTTAAATAATCTATTCCTATCCTAATCATACTTGGTCTAATTAATCCTCCACTAATCATACTTAATTATTACTAATCCTAATTAACAAAATAACAAATAACATGAAATGGTCAAGGTTATTAGACTAAGGTCTTTGAGTTCCTCAATTAAGGCATTAGCTTAACCTATGGTTTCCAAGTCAAGTTCTAAGCTATCCTCTAACTCTAGGCACAAACCATACAAGTCCAATACATAACTTAAATGAGTAGACAATAAAGTAATTATGATGCATGAACAACTTGGTTGTCTCATTCTCCCATCCTTAAAAAGTTTGGTCCTTCAAACTTGTCTTAGCTTTGCTAAAAAATAGACTGGGATGTCTCATTCTCATCTCATGTTCTTTCTCCCAAGTAGCATCCCTCCTATAGTGTTCTCGCCATTCCACTTATACCATTGGTATTGCTTTATTTTTGAGTTGTTTTACTTGATGGTCAATAATTTGAATGAGGCGCTCTTCATACTCCAAATCCTCATCAATTACTAACCTCTGGTAATCAATTACATGGGAAGGACCCCAGGCATAACCTCGTAGGATAGAAATATGAAATACATTGTACACTTGCTCCATCTCTGATGGTAATGCAATCCAGTAAGCCACTAGGCTAATTTTCTTTAAAACCTCAAAAGGTCCAATATGACGTGGAGCTAATTTTCCTTTCTTTCCAAACTGTGTCTGGCCCTTCATTGGTGTGACTTTCAAAAATATATGATATCTGACTTTGAATTCTATGTTCCTCTTCCTTGCATCTGCGTAGCTCTTTTGATGACTTTGAGCAGTTTTGATTCGTTGTTGGATAACCTCGATCTTTTCAGTAGTAACTTAAATAATCTCGGGCCCCAATATTGCTTAATCTCCTACCTCTATCCAACAAATAGGTGATCTACATTTTTTTTTCTTTCCATAGAGTGCCTCATAAGGTGCCATCCAAATACTCGCTTGGAAGCTATTGTTGTAGGCAAATTCTACCAACAACAAATGAGTATCCCAACTTCCTTTGAAATCTAAAATACAAAAACGAAGCATATCCTCTAGAGTTTGTGTAGTCCTTTTTGACTATTCATTTGTTTGTGGATAGAAAGTAGTACTAAACCTCAATTTTGTTCCCATTGCTCTTTGCAAACTTTGCCAAAATCTAGACACAAACTTAGAATCTCTATCCGATACAATAGAAACAGGCACACCTTGAAGTCTAACAATCTCATTATGTACAAAGTAGTAGGTTTGTCCACGTTATAAAAAGATTTCACAGGCAAGAACTGGGCGGACTAGGTCAGTCTATCAACAATGACCCAAATAGAATCCATACGTCTTGGTGTGCGAGGCAAGCCAATTGCAAAATCCATCGTGATATGTTCCAATTTCTATTTAGGAACAGAAAGAGGTTGAAGAAGACCGACTGACCTTTGATGTTCGGCTTTGATTTGTTGGCATTGAAGGCATCGAGATACTAATTCTGCTATGTTCCTTTTCTTGTTTGGCCACTAATAAACTCGGTTGAGATCTTGATACATCTTAGTATTCCTGGGGTGGACTGCAAACTTAGAATGGTGTGCTTCCTCCATAACTTTCTTTTGCAATTCTGGTATATCTAGAACACACATTCTACTTTCAAATTGTAGCACTTGATCTTTAATGGTGAATCCCCTCCTTGGCTTTGAATCAACTTCCTCAAAAGCTTTCTTTAGGTAAGGATCCTCTATTTGCTTCTGTTTAATTTCCTCAATAATCATTGGTTGTACTGAAATTGTAGCCAATATACCTCCTATCTCATGTAGGACTAACTCCACCTCCATCTTTTGCAAATCTTGTAAAATGTCTCCTTGTTTGGTAAGTAGACATGCCAAATTTTCCATGGACTTTCGGGTAAGAGCATTTGCTACAGTGTTTGCTTTGCTAGGGTGATATTGGATTTGCAGATCATAATCCTTCATCAATTCGAGCCACCTCCTCTGTCTCATGTTGAGTTCTTTTTGTGTAAACAAATATTTCAAACTCCTGTGATCAATAAATACCTCACACGGAGACCAGTATACATAATGTCACCATATCTTCAATGCAAAGACTATGGGCGCCAGTTCTAGATCATGCGTTCAGTAGTTCTTCTCATGTGGCTTTAGCTGGCATGAAGTATAAGAAATAACTCTATTGTTCTGTACCAAAACACATCCCAATCCCTTATGCGATGTATCACTGCAGATAACAAACCCCTCTATGTTGGTTGGCAATACCAGAACCGGTGTTGTAATTAATATATTTTTGAGCTCTAGATACTTTGAATCCTTTTCTTTTGTCCACTCAAATGGTACTCCTTTTTGTGTTAGTTGTGTGAGTGGCATTGCTATCTTGGAGAAATCTTTCACAAACCTCCTATAGTGTCCTGCTAAACTAAGGAAATTTCAAACTTCAGTTATAGTAGTTGGTCTTGGCCAGTTAACTATTGCTTCAATCTTTTGAGGATCAACAAAAATTTCCTCTTTATCAATCACATGCCCCAAAAATGTTACACCAGATAGCCAAAACTAGCACTTCTTTAATTTTTCAAACAACTTTCCATCTCTAAAAGTTTAAAGGATCAATCTTAAATGTTGTTCATGTTCTTCTAGGCTTTTCGAGTAAATAAGGATATCATCAATGAACACTACTATAAACTCATCCAAATAAGGCTTAAAAATGCAATTCATTAGATCCATGAACGCTGCAGGTGCATTAGTAACTTCGAAAGGCATAACCAAAAATTCGTAATGGCCATACCTTGTTCTAAAAGCTGTCTTTTCTACATGATCTGCCTTGACCTTGAGTTGGTGGTAGCCTGATTTGAGATTTATCTTAGAAGAGACTTGTGCCTCTTGTAATTAGTCAAATAAAGCATCAATTCTAGGCAATGGGGTATTTGTTCTTGATTGTCACTTTATTTAGCTCTCTATAATCAATGCATAGACATAGCGTTCCATATTTCTTTTTGACAAACAACACTGGTGCACCCCATGGCGATGTACTGGGTTTGATGAAGCCTTTATTTAGTAAGACTTGCAATTGAATTTTTAATTCTTTCAATTATGCAGGTGACATTCTGTAAGGAGTTTTGGAGATGGGCTGAGTTCCTAATTTTACATCAATAGTAAAATCTCCCTATCAATTAAATATCCCAAAAAGTCATCAGAAAACACATCTGGGAACTCTCGTACCATTGGAATACCGTCCAAGTTAGCATCAAATTCTTGAATAGTTAGGACACTGCAGAAATAGCCTCGACATCCTTTATTGAGTAATCGGTTGGCCTTCATGGATGAAATAAGATATGGTGGGGGCACTACTTCATTCCCTTAAAAAGAGAATTCTTCTTGATCGGGTGGTTGGAATGTAACACATTTTGATACATAGTCAATGGTAGCATAATTTGTCAACAACCAATCCATTCCCAATATTGCATTAAAATGATTCATATCAATAGGTAATAAATCTACAGTCAAACTAAAACTTGCAACTAATATATCACAATCTCGATAAATAAATGTACAAATCAAGGATTCACCAGAGAGTGTAAACACTGATAACAAGTAATCCAAAGGTTCTAGCTGTTTATCCAATTTACTCACAAACTCACTAGATATGAATGAATGTGTAGAACCTGAATCTATCAAAATATATGCATCTTGAGCACAAATTGAAAGTGTACCTGACACCACTGATTCGGTGTTCTAAGCATCGCCTGGGACAAGTGCAAAGACTCTGCCTTGTCTCACTAGTTCTTTCCCAGTGTTAGCCTTAGCACTTGGTTTCTGAACTAACCCAAATGAACTACTTGCACCCCTTTGCTTGGCCTTAGGACAATCCTTGACTTCATGTCTCATTTGTCCACATTCAAAACATGCTCCTGTAGCTCACATACCCCAAAATGATTCTTATTGCATTCCCGACATGTTGGTATGGTCTTGTTACCCTCACTTGAACTGTTAGTGCTTCATGTGTTTGGCCTTTTGATCGGTGGATTACTCGACCCTTTCTTAACACCAAAACCTTGCTTCTTGCTGAACTATTCCTTCGTTTTCTACTCATCTTTGGCATTTTGTTCAGCCATTAGTGCTTTTTCTAGGACTTTTATATAAGTTGGCAATTGGAAGAGGTTCACTTCATCTTTAATTGCTCCTTTCAAACCCTCCTCAAACTTTCTTGCTTTGTTATAGTCCGTGTTCACCATGTGTGGGGTGAACCTTGCCAATTCAGTAAACTTGGCATCATATTCTGAAACTATGCCTCCTCCTTGCTTTAATGCTTGAAACTTTAAAGCCTTTCTATCTTTGATGGTCTGAAGAAAATATTTACTGTAGAAGACTTCTAAGAAATGATTGTAGGTAATACCTTCATGTTGACCCTTCACTAACATCCACTACGTACGTGCCTCTTCTGCGAGAGTGAATGTAGCAAGTGCCATCTTCTGTGTCTCGGTACATAGGAAGACTTCGAAAAATTTCTTAGTTTCTAGCACCTAAGCCTCCATCTTCAATGGATCTATACCTCCCTCAAATTGAGTTGGTTTCATTTTCTTGTATTCCCTAATTAATGCCATTGTTTCCTGATTCGAAAAATCCATCTACAATGGCATCGGTTGCTACAATAGTTGTTGCTACTACTGTGGTTGTGGTTACTATTGTGGTTGTTCTTGATTTCTTTGTTTGAGTGCCTCAACTACCTCTGCTACTCCTTCTAATATCATTTCAAGTTTATCCATACAACTAGTAGAGGATTCTCTTTTTTTCCCTTACCATGATGCTATGCACAAGAAACATCAATTAAACATTCATAAATATGCACATGATGTTTCAAATATCATATAAGATATACATCTCATTACAAGCACTATCATGAATGCATTCCTAACATTTTTCTAGGAAAATCCTATGCTTTGAAGGACAAGTGCGTGTGTGTACAAACTTGTGCTCTGATACCACTCTGTCACCATCCCATCCCACCCCAGACAGGATAGTAGCTATGACCGGCCAATAGTGTTTGACTACCAAAGGCTTGACAAGACAAGACAAGACAAGATTGGACTAAAATCTTGGGACTTACGTGGAACAACTTGTTTATTACATTAATCCAATACCCATTCAGAGTAAGTGCATAAGTAAAATGATAACAAAACAAGTATATTTCTTATTTATTTACATTAACATTTACATGTCTATCCAACAAAATAAAAGGACACAACACCAAAAGACATTTCTACAAAACTATAAACATAAAAACAAAACCACTAACTCCAGGTTAACTTGAAAAGAAACAAATAAAAAGAAAAGCAAAGCATTAGTGCGACTCTTCCTCATGTACTGGTTTTTCTTCTTCACCTACATATATAAGGGAGAGAAGTGAGCTATAGCCCAGTGAATAGTAATATAGTAAGGCAGTAAATGAATGAACATTGAAAGTTTTAAACATTCCTTTGAGATAACATATAATTTGAACAAGACAAACAAAACTTGACTTGCAAATAAAATACATATTTGATGAGCATATCAAGGATTACAAGGTGCTTAACCGGCTCGGGTACTGGCTAAACAAAACAAGATGAGCTCAGTCATAATACATGATTGGATATTCCCCCAATTATAGGACATGATCCAAGAATGCCATCTAAGTACATGATAAAAGAGTATAAATGTTCATTCATAACAAGATATATGAAG